AAGTTGTTAGGAGCATACACTTTACCATAGAAATGTTTATCGTTCATTATGAAAAATGTTTAATTAAATGTAATATGTTTTATTTTTACCAGTGAATTGAATTGATTCCTAGATTAATCACATTTTTAATTCACTAAAGAAATATAGGGAGAGGGAGGAAACTTTTCTGAAAAAAAACTTAAAAATGTTTGAGAAGCAACTTACAGGATTTTTATATTAAAAAAAATCTATGTTTGCCTGCTAGGTAACACGCTGTACAAATCTAGGTCTTTCTTAAGATCTACGTTTTTTATTTTCTCTGAATAGTTTTTGATTAGTTAAAGCCATGTTCCACATTTACTAAACTCATCAAACTTATTTTTTTAGGAATAATAAGAAAGAAAAAATAGAGACATTACTAAAATAACCTAATTACATTAGCATGACATTTCCATATTGCATCCATACTTAACTGATACAATGCAGACTCTGTTATGTCCTGGCTTCGTTAGTTCCCTTCAAAAATTGTGTCTTTGCTTACATTGAAGGTGTATCTCAGAATCAGAGTCACCAACCCTTTCATCACATTACTCCTGCCCACTTATCTGATCATGATCGCAGATATTGTCAGCTGCGCTCTGCCATTGCAAGGTGGCGAGCGCAACTCATTCAAGGTAACTTTGGTGCTCAGCTTCACCATGTTTCTGAACATCCTCACCGATGTTCTCCCTGGAGACAGCAAGTGCAGCCCAGTTATCCGTGAGTCACAAACCAAATGTTACTGTGCTAAAAGATTAGATAAAGACGTGCAGCAATTCCTAAAACCCTCTTTATGTCTCACAGGTATCCATTTCTGTGTTTGCCAAGTCCTGATGATGATAAGCACGCTGGTGTCTATGCTGTTGACAAGGGTGTCTCAAGATGGATTCTTCCTCTTCACCTTCTCCTTCAGTAGGTGTTCTCGTCAAAATGCAGGAGGCAACGAAGAAAACGATGAAGCAGGTGAGTGAGGCTTTGCTGTCAGGGGAAACAAAACATGAGACTGGATCATTTTTTCATTGGGGTTTGTCACGTGAAGTGACTAACTAACTAACTAACTAACTAACTAACTAACTAACTAACTAACTAACTAACTAACTAACTAACTAACTAACTAACTATAACCTCAGCAGAAGCCAAGGGTGACATCAGCATCATTCAGCATGATGTGTCCCAAGACTCTCTGATGCACAACATGATCGTCAAGTTCTTGGAGGCTTTTGACACCAAACAGCAAGAAACTGAACGTCGTCAGCAGCTTGCAGATAAACTGGATAAAATTTGCTTTTGGTTCTATTTGGTTGTTACCTTTGCATACTTGGCTGCTATGACTTATGTTATGGTAAGGTATGAATGCATAGTTGACCATTTTACATTTTGGGAGTGATGCATCTGTCAAAAAAATTCAAAATCGTCTCCGATCATGTGTCTTGTAATAGATATAATTAGATGACTTTGAGGATATTAATCATAGACGTATGTTTTGTTAAACTACGTAACCAGTCATAAGTCAAAGCAAGACAGGTTTGTTTGTTTACATTTTGTTTGTGCAGTAAAAGAATAACAAAAAATGAAGCTACACATCAAAATAAATGCTTAAACCTACTTTTAAAACACGTGGATTGGATTGCAGTGGGACACATGCCAGGCTTTTGTGAGTATTTTAATTAAGTTCAAACAGATTGATTTCAGTAATAATTTGCTGGACTGATCCCAAGTTTTCTGAGAAACAGGACACAGAGAGTAAGAGTTAAAAATTGTCTTAACTTATTAAGCTTGCAAAAATGTGCCAGAGATGACATAACAACAGCTCCATCATAAAGAATACTGATTATTATGCATGGCAAATTCCTGACTCAATATTTATTTATACATATATATATGTATGGGTTAACATCTAGCTTTTATGGTTGTTGCTATAAGGTTCCGCTTGATTATTATACAGTATATGACGCTTTGCTTAAAATTATACATACACAACGGACAGGGAGAGGAAGGTGGAAAAGAAAGAAGGGGTAAGAAATATCGAAATAATCCCCAGATGCCCCAGTGGGGGAAGAGGTGCCGGCCACACCCCATCTGCTGCGTCCCACAGAAGCCGCAGATCAACCCCACCGAAGCACCCAGCCAATCACAGCTGCTCCAGGCCTCCACATTCATACGGTCTGTATGGATAGAGGTTGGGCGGATCTAATCATCCTTTGTCTTTGGTTCTCTGTAGCATTTTTAACCTAATTTCCAGAGAAATTTGTTAATGGAAGAATCTGAAGATGTCATAAGTTTTCTTTAACCCAGTACATTTTGGAACCAGCTCCCTCTGGACATGTATGCTACGTCATTGACCAAGGTCTTGTCAAATCTAAACTTAATAGGTTTTTTATGTAGTAAGGGTTTTTGGCATTTCATCTATATATTTTTATGTTCTAAATAATTTCTTGGATTTTATTATCAAGCAATTTTCCTCTCTGCGCGGCTCTTTTTAAGGACTATATGAATCAATAAATTAAAAATTCTGTGAAAGTTAGACTGCTAAATGAAAATAAAAACAGCAGTTGCCCAGTGATCTATAACGTTTTAAAATAGCACAAAGATTCTTAGCTTTACATGATTATAAATATCATCAAAAGCAATCAAATAGAATTTTGAATATGATTATTGGTTAAAAAGAACTTTCAATCCCAATAGCCAGGAATTTACAGGAATCAATCATTTAAATCAGGTCTGCTGCAGAGACTCAACTTAAAACATGCAAAGCAGCGGTATTTTAAGAGTTTGGGAACTACAGCTGTGGTTCACAACCCTATAGACCATAGGATTGTCACTTGACTATAGGCTATAGTCCTCAAATATATAATCTCTAACAAGTGACTTTTGTCAAAGATTGTCAGTGTGTATTGTTGCACATTCCTTGGAAGTATTTTAGATCAAACATGGATTATTGAAACTAAGTTAAGGATAATGTGCAAAAAGTCACGTCAGCACTTCTTCTGCTTCAGGAAACTGTCATTTTAACACTGATCAAACAGCAATGACCCTTTTTATTGTACTCTTACTTAATCAATTCCTTCCTTCTCCTTGGTCTCATGGTTGGGTCATATAACTTTAAGGAGTTCCTTCCAGTAGGTCATGAAACCGCCATCTAGACTGGATTTTAATTGATTTGAAAGATTTTATTAATTTTTTTTTATGGTTTTTACCCATTAGTTTTGAAAAAATGTTTTTGGATATTAATGCATCCAATCATTAAGTCTTTCTCTCTTTCTCTGTGTCAATTATATTTGTTTGAATTGTTCTGCCTATGTGTTAATTATAATCAATGTAAATAAAAGATCATTACTATGAATGTGTGAATGCTTTGAACTATTTTAAAACTAAAATAGCTAGGGCTTATTATTATTAAATAACCTTGGACCTTGAATGTTATCAAAGCAAATAGGTAACAGGTTCCAATTGGATAATAATGCTTTGAAGATTATGTTTGAGTTGTCAACGAGTCAATAAATCAGAGTTGATGGTTATAAAATTATATTTATCCACAAGGGAGCAATCATCGGCATGCATTAGGCATATAAGGAGATTGTGAAAAATACCAAACTTGGTTACAAATTCAGACATTATCAAAAACCTGACTGACAGTGGCGACTCATCACCTTGAAAGAAATGAGATGGAAAAACACGCATAACACTTAAATGATTGATGAAACCAAAAAAAAAAAAAATGACAAAAGAATATAAATTCTGATTTTTTTATTAAACTAATTCAGTGGATGTGTTAAACGGGCATCAATTCTGTTTTTATATTAACATTGAAGGCTATATCCATACATATTCAGCCAAAAGCACCAAAATAATGTTGCAAAAGCAATCTGAACCAATTGTGGACACTGTGGGAGTGGGTAATTAATTACTAAATTAGTCTGATTGTCCTGAACTAATATTACCCATACTATTTAATCAATTTTAAATATTTATGAATTGTTTTGCTAAAGGTTGATTTGTCATGCTTGGTAAATGCTTTTCTTAGCTAACACAATAAACCATTAAGTATGTGAAAGATACAGCATTTGCATATGAAATTCATAATAAAACTATCTTTATCAGATGTTTTTAAACTAAAATGAGCTGCTATTTGTGAAATGAAAGTCTTAAAAAATATATACTGATGAATGTTTAACAGGTGCTTGTGCAACATGAGAAGAAACTATTGTGTTTATTCTTAAGCATGTATCAGTTATATCAGCATAACAAAATATTTTATATATAAAACAAGAAAAACTAAGTCTGGAAATACACTGCATGCTTTATAGAGTTCAGATTAATTTAAGTGTGTGTTGAGATGATCTACTTGAACCATGATGTATGTTGCCACCTTGTGGGCAAACATTTTCCTAAAGAAAAAACAAGGTTCCCTTCACTCTTATTCTTAGTTAGATTTATTCAGTATTATTAGACTTGGACATTTTTTTAAACACAAGTGTAAACAAAAACAAATGTCATTAATTACATCTTTCTAAACTATTTCATTTTTTTATTTTTTTATTTGTGATGAAAAAAAGTGATGTAAACATATGACTGTATAGTTACAGTTCCACAGATGCTTCAAAGTCTATTTTCAGAGGGCAGCAGGGAGGACAGTCCATGGTGGGGGTGTGAGGGGTCATTTATGATTTTACGGGCTCGGGACAAAATGTCTTTTATGGAGGGAAGAGGAGCCCCGATGATCTTCTCTCCTGTTCTTACTACTCTTCTCACCTTCTTCCAGTCTGAGGCGCTGCAGCCTCCACACCACACAGTGAGACAGCTGGTCAGAACGCTCTCTATGGTGCTTCTGTAGAAGGTGGTGAGGATGGGTGGGGGCAGGTGGGATCTCCTCATCCTCTGCAAGAAGATACGCTTTTGTGCCCTTTTGACCAGTGAGGTGGTGTTTACAATCCAGTAGAAGGGTGTCTGTGATGTGCATCCCCAGGAATTTGGTGCTGTTGACCACCTCTACTGCTGAGCTGTTGATGACCAGTGGAGCGTGGTTAGGCTGGTTCTTCCTGAAGTCCAAGATGATCTCCTTCATCTTCTCCACTTTCAGAATCAGGCTATTATCTTTGCACCAGTCCTCATCTCAGTATTTCTGGTCGTTGTCGTCACTGATGAGGCCCACCACCGTGGTGTCGTCTGTAAACTCACAGTGCAATTGGTGGTGAACCTGGGGGCGCAGTCATGTGTCATCAGGGTAAACAGTGGGGGCTCGGGACGCAGCCCTGATGGGAGCCTGTGCTTAGGATGATGACATCAGAGGTGTTCTGTCTGACCCGCACTGACTGAGGTCTGTTTGTTTATTATAGAAGCAATTGGTAAAAATGTATAAATCCTAAGAATTCTATATTTGGAAATGGAGTTTGTGATTTATTTTAGGAAACCCAACACTTTCTCAAAAATATTTGAAATTATTATTTTTATTACAATTATAAATCATACAAAGGCTTTGATTCGCAACAAACATTTGAACAGAAAAATAGAGTTTATTTAAAGTAACAAAAATATTTTTATATATATTAATGCACTTTTCCCCAACATTCATTCATCCTAAAGCCTAGGAGAACTTACAAAAATAAACTTTACCATCATCATAACAGTGAATTTCCTCAAAATCACCTTATGTGGCGAAACAGGAAGAAGAAAGACAACGAAATAACTCAGAACATAGAATAGATCCACCGGGTTATGAGCACCACCACCTTTTTAGTCTGGATGTCTGCAGTTCAGTTTTATGTTTTCTCTGTTTCCTTCATTACCTTTTGAGAGAAAAAAAGAAGTGTCATAATTCATTATGATATTCATATAAAGAAAATGCATGAAATGATTAAATTCACAAACCTGTTTGAAAACCTGCCCAGTGAGGTAGGTCTGTGCCATGTTTCTAAGGCTGGATTTTCCACCCACTTTGCATCTGACATAACCATACAAATTGGCCCATTGCAAAACCAGTCCCATTATTACCACCGCCTGAGGTACAAGGTCACAGCAGAGAATTACCACCTATGTGACATTAATACAGTCTGACAGAAGTATGACTCATGCAAAAAAAAAACAAAAAAAAAACAGTAAACTCACCAGCCATTTGATGTTAAAGGAGAAGATGGTGCTGAATAGAAAGATGACCCAGAAGATGGGGCACACAGTCAGTCCAAGCCAGAAGATCCGTGACTCTGCAGCGGTGGTTTTGCTGACACTACCGGCCTGTTCAGAGAGGTAGACTTAATTTTACAGAATCCTGACAAATACAAATCTAAGAGTCAATTTCATTGTATTCTATAATAACACTCAAAGTACAGGATGGATCAGAGGTTAACTTAGAGTCATAAACAACAACAAATAAAAAAAGAACTGAGGACACGTGTAAATTCCTTCTGGATTTCTACTCATCCAAACTGGATCAAAACTATACACTCAGATGGAACCATTGAATTACTCGCTCTATGATTTAGTTAACTATCTCTCAGTACTAACCAAAGACAACTGTACCAACTATCAAGCATAATAGGGGCAGCCTAATGCTGTGGGTCTTTCTGGAGGTGAACCTGAAACATTGTGCAAAGTGGACTATTTCTGCAATTCCCTTAAATTGTTATGGGCAATTTGAGAACACTAGTCTTCTTTAACCAATTTCAAAATGAGTTAGGAAGTCTTCCAAAGACAGAAAATTAAAGACAATTTTATAAATTAAATGGCATTCCCATACCAAAGAACCTAATGTCCTGAAATTTCCCCAACCTTTACTTTATTTGACATTCATGGACTACATTTAAAACTAAGTAGTAAAAAATTAATTTATAAGGCTCCTTCTATAGCTTTAAAATAAAAAGGGCTTCACAGCAAAATAATAGACCGCAAACCTAAATAAAATGCCTACAATCGCATGTAAAAGAATGACATTACTTAAAAAAGAAAGGTGAAAAATAAGCACTTAAAACTGAAGATCAAAAATAAAAAGTGTTTTACCCTGCTTTTTTAAAGAGAAAGCATCATTTTTTTTCAGGAAATCTGGGGTTTCCTTTCATAAACCATTTAATTGAATTTTACCATTTTTTCTTTAGAATAAGGATCACATATTTAGGCAGAAATATGGTGGACCATAATCTGATAGAGTTTTTATTGCAGCAGTTCAAAGAAACTTTCACCAAATGCTTTGAATGTTTAAGTTACTAGTATGTCCAGGTTTTGTATTTGTAGGAGCCAATTATTTTTTGTTAATAACTAACAAAGTTTTTTTCTTCATTGAGCATAATCTAGCTAAGATTATTTGCGTACTTTTATTTACTACTTTTTATTTACTTCTTGATATCTGTTATGAGATTATGTTTCTTGGTTATTTAGTCATGTTCCTTTGTTTTTGGTTAGTTATGATTAATTTGGGTGAATTATTTTTATAAATAGGCATTCAATGGTAGGGCCAGCATGCATCTCGGTGGGCGTATGGTTTTTCATTTTTTAAACTTATGTTGTGGCCCAGCTTTTATGACACAAAAAAAATGGAAATCCACAAAGGCCACAGATGCACCATGGATTAATTAATTTACACAGTACAAGAGAAACTGAGAAAACTGAAGGAGTTTACCTAGAACATTTTTTTTTTCTTTTGCCTGTGTAAATGACTTAGTCCATGGTGCATCTGTGGCCTTTGTGGATTTCCACTTTTTTTTTGTGAGCGTCATCAAAGTACAGATGGATTAATTCATTATGAGAAATTACCTTCCTTGATTCAAACACCCATCGGCTTCTTCCATCTTCATCGACTTGATTCCACCACCGAAGGCCAACCAGCAATCTGCCAGATACATTCTGAACAAAAAAGACAATCATTTGAAACAAAATTATAACAATGATCTAAACAATAAAACTCACAAAAAACATTTAGTTAAACATAACAAAGTATATTAACCATTTTTACATGGAGTTTTCTGTTTAAACCAGACAGTTACCTTTACAGTCCAGAAGTCACATGAGAGCAGGAGGATGATGGTGACCATGCAGACAATAAATCGGCCACTGAGAAAATCACACAGTAAATAAACCAAGATGGCACATGTCCGGAAGAAGAGGTGGAAGAAGGATGTCAAAGGATGTCTGAAAGACATTGGAGTTTGGTTTTAATCATCAGCTATTAGGGCACAATGAATGCATACACTTTCTGAAAATAAAAAAAAATTAAAACCTAATATTAGACTTTTGTTGCCTGTAGTTCTCGTCCTCCTCACCAAAAAGGGGAGAATCTTGAGAGTCCTGGAAACATAAAAAAAGTACATCAACATAATCCAAATCACATATTTCTGTCTTCTTAAAAGTTTAACAAACATGTAACTGAAAATACTCAATCAAGCAATAACCTCCTAAGTGATACAATAAACACGCCATTAGATATATTTTACCTGTCGATCCATTTCTCACACAGGAGGATGAGTTTCCTGGTGACGTGGATGTAAACAAACTCGTGTGCTGAGGACCCAAAAAGGGTGGCCGACAGTTTGCCTGAGTCCTTCTTCTTCTTTTCTATTTTGGCGTAACCTTAAGGTGCATACCGCCCCCTAATGTACATGAGTGTGTAGCAACATTACTTTACATCAAATTATATTTTTTATTCCGTATATAAATAAATAATGCTTTCCTTATTCAGTAAATATCCTTTATATTTCCTTAATTTCCCAATATTCCTTTTAAGACTCCATTATTTGCCTGTCCTTCCAACCATACTTCTCAATTTCTCCCTTTCATGTTCATAAGTTTCATCAGTACATGTTCTACATTTTCTTTTTCTCCACATCCTTCACATTTATCATTATTTTTCCTTCCTATTAAACATAAATTGTCATTTAAATAGGTATGACCCACTCCTAATCTAATGATTATTACTTCTTTCCCTCTGTTTCTCTCATCAATGATTGTATTTAATACTTATTTTTGTACCTTATATAATCCTCTTCCTTTCTTATCTTAGTTCCACCTCTTTTTTTCCATTTTTCCATTTCTTTACTCTTAATAAGTAATTTTCCTTCCCCTTTCCCAAAAGGAATTGCAATGGTTATTGTTCCATCTAAAGCCCTTTTTGCCAATACATCTGCTTTTTCATTGTCTTTTACACCTTCATGCGATGGAACCCAACATAACCAAACATCAATGCCATCCCTATATAATCAAAATAGACTGTGCTATATTTCTAATACTAAATCTTTTCTATCATTTCCTTCTCCCTGAATACTTTCTAAAACTGCTTTGGATTCTGTACGTACCACCACCCTGTCTGGCCTAACCACCTGTACCCATTGAAAGCTTAGTATAATTGCCACCATTTGTGCTGTGAAAACAGATAATTGATCTGATATTATTTTAGAAATGTATATTTTAAACTCTGGTATATGTTTGCCTGAGTTAAATACCGCTGCTCGACCCATAACCAAATCACCAGAAAACCTCATAACTTGAGCCCAAAAAACCATATCAACATTGAAGATTGTTTCATGGAAAAGTTGTTGGCATTTATGATAAAATTAACACTGATAAATAGTTGTTATAATGGTGTTGCTGATTGTTTTTTCCTTAGTTAAATTTGCTAAATAGAGATAGCTTTCACTTTTCATTTATATTTTATAGATTATGAACTTAAAAGCATGGTCCGTCATTTCATCAGGTTTGGGACTTTGGTACCACAAGAGGGTTTAACAGCACATTAATTCTTTGGAATATAAAACAGGTATGATCAGGGACTTTATTTGGGTGTTTTAGATAACCTTATTATGATATTTTCTAAAACTAAAGCAAGGTATGTAGAATAAAAACTGCAAATGAAATTGCAGGGGCGGAGCTAAATGTGGGGGCTAGGGGTGGCCATGGCCACCCTTACCCAATCATTGGCCATCCCTGTGGCCACCCCTACCATTTCCCCCCCCCCCCCCCTCTAATACAGATGGTGGCAACAGTAATATTCTCAAGTGGAATATTCAAAAACATTTCTACTTTTTTGTTGTTAATTATGCACATCAGTATTCTAAAAACAAAGATAAGTACATAATTCCTGCTCTTTTCAGAGCTAGATTTTGTGTTACTGTATATGGTGTTAAGAGAAAAATATGTGTCTCTGGAAGTCATCTAGGAGTCTTCAGTGAAATCAAAGATAAATAACAATTTAAATAAAATATTATCAAATAATCAATTTATGTAGATATTAGTGCTTGTAAATATAAATTTTATGCAGAATGTTTATTGATACAAGTAGGTAAGTAATGACAATGATGATTGATCCACGCCCCAGAACTCAAAGCTGAGTTTTATCCACTATACCTTTATTCTAGAAATTAGGGATGTTTCAATATGTCATGGTTTTGGTTATGTTGTGCTTTACTTTGCTTCTTGTTTTCTAGTTTTATTGGTTTAATTCATATTTTGTTGTAATTTCTAGATTTATGTTAGTTCTCAGGTTTTTTTGTTGCTTTCCTCTGTTGCCCTCTTGTGTGTGTTCCTTTCCCCTTGGCTCTCTCGTTGTCTCCTCACACCTGCTCCTTGTTAGCCCTGCCGTTGTCTCAGTCAGCTATATATGCTCTCCCTACTCTCACTCTTTGCTGGTTCCTTGTCTTTGCTTTCCTCCCATGCTCTTGTCCACCTACCTCGTCTCTCTCTGGCTCCTCCTGTTTGGTTTCCCCAGATGTCTCCATAGTTCTGGTTTTCTTTTCATTATTAGTTGGATTTTTTTTTGCATTCCTGCCTTTGTTTACTTTTTTGCCCCATTAAACTGCAAGAAATCTCCTCAGCCTCTCTGCTTCTGCATTTCGGTCCTCAACCCACAACTAAACCCTGACAATATATATGCGTCTATTTGTTAGCAAAGGCTGTAGGAAAGTCTAGTTAGTCTTTATTTATAAAATATTGCTGTTTTGCTCCTTAATTTTTCTCTTGGAACCGTGCAGATTGACCATGAGGTTCTGGTGCCTATCCGCTTTCGGCCACCCCTCAATGTACATTGGTTATTGCCCTGCAACCCTTATAAAAAATTTCTGGCTACGCCTCTGTGAAATTGTAAGGAAAAAGAACATTATATATTTTCTTGCATTAGACTGAGGCCAGCAAAGTCAGCTGCAAACAGAAAATAATGACAATGAATAAAAGCGAATTCAGTTTCCACAATTTTTTTTTATTATTTGCAAATATAATGGTATTAATCAAGTTTTATATGACATTATTGGTTTAAATTTTAAAAATAAAATCTTCAAACACATTTACATTGTTGCATAATCAAGCCACTCTATAAGAAAATATAGTAATACAGTCTCTTTCAGAAAAATAATATAAAGTGCTCATCAAAAACCGTCTGTACAAAATAGTTTAATAGTGCCAATTATAGCCTTCTGTACACTTCCTGCAAGGTGCTGATTTAAGAGTTGAGGTACACTTCAAATAAACTGGACACTGAGTGCATTCGATAAAAGATGCCAAAAGGAAGACCCACGTTCACAATAGCAGCCCACATGTTCAACTCGTAGAACTGGGTTTCAGTGTCATTATCAAACTGGGGACGAGCACCAAAGGCTGGCATGATCCACAGCTGCAAAAGACAGAAAGAATGGGCTTAGCATTCATTCAATCAGTGAGAATGTCAGACAGAGGGATAGAAAGAGATACTTACAATGATGTTACCCAGAAGCAGGAACGTGGAGACCTCTCTCAACACTCGCCGCTTCCACAGCAGCTTGTGTTTGTGCTCTGATGTGGCACCGTGGCCGTGGGCTTCCACATCAGGGGTGGGTTTATTGCCTAAGTCTACATTTTCAAGTTTGTTCCCATCTTTGCTGGGCTCAATTGCGTATGGATTTGCTACCACTGTGTCAGACTCAACCTCATGGAAGGGTTCCCGGTGCAGGCCCTCAATTATGAAATAGTTCTGTAAGCCGAGCTGGATCACCATCAGTATGCCCCAGGTCAAATTGAGCCTGTTCAAATGGCCCTTGGCCCCAGTTGCAACCATGGCTACAATGGAGAAATAGCTGATGATGAATTGCCCAAGTGAGGCTCCCACTAGCAGCCCCACATCCAGACTACGGGTCGGGTTCTTCTCTGTGACATGCTCCCTGTGGTCTACCTTGAATATAGCACTTCCGATGATGGTGCACACTGACATCATGGTCACAATAACTATATTCATGACCAAGTGCATCATCACCGCCGATTCATGGTCTTCTTCATGAAAGAAATTTGTTTTCATTTCGATCTCATACACAATGAATGTTGCAAGGCCTGCAACCACGAGGAGGATCCCTAAAACAGGACCGATGAAGACATCCTTAAGACTGAATTTGACATGGTGGTGGTGGCTGCTTTCGGACACTGCTCGGCCAACATTCTTCCACATGACAAAAGCCATAGCTGAGGCAAAGAGGCTGTACTCGATGTTGAAGGGGTACAGGTAGTAATATGCATCCTTGAAGATGGTGCAGGAAGTGTGGCTACACTTACAACTGTCATCTCCATAACTGGCTGCAAAGCAAAGCATACAATCAGATATGAAAAAAATGCAACTCTTTCTGACTGTTTCTAGCTCTTGAATTAGCTTTTATCTTACCTCTGGCATAAATATCTCTTCTTGAGAGCTTGGTGACATTAGTAGGAAACTCTGGAATAATGGTTTGGTGAAGGGACTCCTCAGTAACTTCAGTCATCCATACAACAAGATTTGTGGAGAGGATAAGCATCAGCCCACAGCTAAAATATGAAAGCAGGAGAGAAAATGAACAAAGAAATTCCTCATTCGATTGATTATTGGACTCAGACAAATATTCATTATCAAGTGTATGTGTCAAACCTAAGAATCTCAACCATTTTGGTGTATACCAGCAATAACATACAAAAAAGAAGAATCTAGAATTATTTAAATGCAGAAGGAGTACTTTAGTTCTACTGGCCAGCCACAGTTATAATGATTAGTTAAAAATGCACTTTTTGTTGCTGACTAAGTCTATGAAAAGTCAAGGACAGTTACAACATCTATGCGGTCCGCAACACCCAAATTAATTTGTAATGCAAAATTTTTGGATATGTGAGAAATTTTAAATGTCGAAACCCATACTACATCTAGATGTGAACCCTTTGTGGACTTCCTTCAGCTTTGTTGGCTATAAAGTGTAACTGGGCTAGAATGGGCCTCTTGTATGAACCCAAAGAGCAAAAACATGCCAGCAAAACTAGAGGAGCACTCTAAAGAGACCATACTTTAAATGTGGGATTTAAATGTCTTTGGGTATGGATTTTTACTAATGTAAGCCATACTCACGCTTTTCATAGAATTAACTTACTTGGTGAAATACAACATAATTAACATTTGGCTACTGCTTAACCTAAGGCTCATTTTCAAGCACTTTCCTATACTCATCTGGACCCCATATGGATAAAAAATCTTCCCTGAGATAGAAAATTCACAATTTATGTCTCTTAAGATTATGTCATTATAGACAGACTTGGGCATAATACTCAAAAACCTTAAAGAAATATATATATTTTTTTAAACTTACCGTGAAAGGTTATTTTGGACCTGAATACAGTCTCTTGAATGGATCCACAGAAAGTATGTCTGCAAGAGTAATAAACATAAATCTTAACACCTTTCAACACTGGGACTTTAGAACATGAAGAATTTTTGTTGGTCTTTTTTTTTTTTTTTACCTGCACGAGAACAAAAACAAGTTGCACCACTGGAAAAGCAACTTTAACAGCCGAATCACAGTGGAGGTATCCTACATAGCTGGCTATCTTAAAGATATCCATGATTACACTGAGGATTCCGAACAGCAAGAGTCCACCTGAAGGAAAATCATCATGCAGAGTGGAGGAAAATGATTCATTTGTCCAAGAAATAATTCTTACATTAATTAAGTGTTGGAGTTGTACTTTACCTCTTAGCCAAATGGGTCCTGCATGCTTATCCTTGAGGACAACAACATTTTCTGCCTTGGAGTTATAAATGGTGTAATAGACCATCCAAATCATTGTTAGCAGGAACAATAAGATGATGTAAATCTGCAGGTCCGGGGTGCTGATTTTGACCCCACCTGAAGTGGTCCCGCTTACAAAGGCACATCCCAGGATCAGGATGTTCAGGCAGATAATAGCAGACAGCATCCATCCCCAGTTTCTGCCCCGGTCCCGCGCAACTTCAGTTGAAGGGGTTTCCATCTCTGGCTCACTCACGCTGCTGACTGGCTCTGCTGAATTTATGTTGTTGGAGAGGTGTGCCTCCTCCTGCTCCCTGTCCTTCGCTGTCGTCTTGCATGGCTCACATAAATTACCACTGGTCAAACATTCGCACGGGTAGCCCGGGTTGAAACACATGGCTTATATTTTAGAGATTTATTCACAATGAGCTGTTTGCTGATTCTGGGAGACAGATAAGAAACATGTCAGACTCAACGACTACACACAATCACAGATTCCCTAATATAGGCACATCCTAAAACTATTTTAAATATTACTAAACAATTACTTGTCATTCTGGAAATTTCTTTCTCTGTTTTTAGCAGTAAAAAAATTACACATACTATGCAGTCTATCATTAGATATTTTGAACTGCATCTTTGGAATTGAAGAGAGAGTAAAAGCTTTTAAAAGTTACCAAATAAATCATTTTACATTCTACCAAACAGCATAGTTTAAGCAGAAGCTTGTAAAACTTTTAGCATGTCAGCTTACCTGTTGAACTGATGTCCTGAGAGTGAGCCTACACTGTTGTGGCTTTTATATATCCTCAAAACCAAAATTGTTTACGTGCAAAGAACCATAAAATGCCTGCCTATTTTGAAAAACAGCATGGTATCAACAAACATAGTGTGTTTAGTGCAAAACATTACCGTAAAGTTCACAAGATGCTTCCAGGAAAACACTTTTCTCATCAGTTTAAAAGTTTGGGGAAAAAACAGTCCCCATTATGGATTAACAGAATTTTTTGATATTACACAAAACATTTCAATATTGCTTACGAAACCAACACAAGGAAGCAGGGTAATCTGGCATAACACCAAATCTGGGTTACATTTTTTTTTTCATCTAAGGATTTTTTTTTTTTTTTTTGTGGCAGATCGTATTTTATTCAACATTATAGATAAAATATATTGCAAAATATCTTAGAAGATGAGATGTCTTTAGATTATTATTCGAAGGTAACTTTTGTATAATAAACAGCATTATAATTTGGTGCATGAAAAGGTTTGATAAACTGCTGGTGTCTTTTGTAATGCAGATGTTAGTCATGCTTTTGGTCAAAGCATGCTCATTTTAAACGTCTTGCTAGTATTTGCAGTTCATGATGGAAATTTTGAAATTGTCAATCTCAAATATTGTGGAAAACTACAGCGACGTTATTCTGGTTCTTCCTCCTAGTTATCCAGTCACACTGAAACATTGTGCTTATCTTTACACAGCTCAATATTTTTCATACATTTCATTTTATTTTTTGATTTAAAACTCATTTAGAGAAGGTGCAGAGCATGAATCACCAGTAGTAAGGGCAGAAATGTCCCCTGCCCTGATGACAGCTGTATAGGTAAGATAACACTTTTAAACCTTTTAAATTATCATGGTAAATGAGTGGACTTACTCTACATTATAATTATAAGAGAATAATAGATGCATCGAATCCAGAGTTTGAGGCAGGAAGAAATTTTGTCAGGAGACATTTTATTAAAACAGCTACTGTATACTGTTGATGTACCAGTTGCACAAAAACTTCCCAATTTGAAAGTTTTGTCAAACAAATAATGACTTTAACCTGATTTAGTAATTTTATGCAGCTTGTGATGGATCCGATAAAACAGTTCTCCTACGTGTTGAGTGACAGTAAATAGGTGAGCGAGTAATATCGGAGTCAATACAGAAATGGTTTGGTCTTTCTGCTTCACTTCTTTACTGGTTTGAGTCTAACTTGAGGACAAACCTTTCTTTCTTTAGATAACTTTACATTTGATTTAAAAAAAATCCTACACAGAAGGTTTATCCCCCAAGGTTTCATCGTTGGGCCCCTCCTAATTAATATCTAACACACAACATGATCAGATACTATGAAGATGACACATAGCTCTATTTTAGTCCATTCAGGTGTTGGGTTTAGGACTTATTTTTTCAGTTCAGCTGCACTCAAAAATAAATGGATTATTTTTGGACCAAAGGACAAGTAATCAAGAGTCACCATAAGGTTTTTAGTTATTACAGTAATAAAACACTGATCAGGCATGAAATCTGGATGTGGCGATGCATTAAGACCTGAACCTTACAGAGGCACGAATGTTTTCAGGATAAAATAACTTATGTCAAGAAAAATTTGGAGAAATCCATCCATGTTTTTAGCTTTAGTTGAATTCATTACTGTATTAGTGTCTTCATAGGTCTGCTGGAAAACTCATGCAGGAAGCTGTAGAACTCTTTTGCTTATCTTATTCCCAAAACTACAAAAAGAGAAAAAAAAAATCAAGCACACCATGCCAGTTCTGAAGTCTTCCTTTATCTGAGAGAATATACCTCGAAATACTTCTGTAAATGTATAAATCACATGTTTAACCTTCCAGACCACTCGGTTCTTCTGATTAAAGTCTACTCCCCAGTTTCAGAAATATTCTATTTTGTTATTCTGGTTATGCTATAAAAAAAAAGAAACTTGCCTCACTGGCCTTTTTTATAGGGTGTCTTGTTGAATGTCAGACAGGGAAGCCCCAACTCTATAATATGAAATTAACATAAAGAGCAATAACAGCATACAGGTGCATCCACATAAATTCAGTGTGACTGAATCTCATTTTGCCTTCCACTCTCGGAGCTGTCTGCTCATCAGACAATGACTTTGGTTTATGCTCCATTTGGAGATTGTCAGTGACCATGGGCAGTACTAGACAGGGGCCAACGTGGGCCAGGGCCCCTGTGGATCACGTCCCGGCCCCTGTTATGACCCCTGTACTGAAGACATAATACTCAAAGAAATTCTAATGATGATATGCGCTGGAACAGACATGGTTACTCATAGATTCTTTGGATCTATTTCATTCTTTTTCTTTACAAATTCAGTTTTACGAAGCATTTAAAATGTAAAATTCCTAAATTATGAAGGTATATTTACCTAATAAGACATCATTTTAATTAAACCTAATTGAATAGAAATTTAGCTTCATGCAGCTATCTTAATATATTTGAATCCCTTGCCCTGTTTTTTCATCGTTTCTGTGCCCCCATGAAAACAACGCTGGCCCCCTCTTGGCCCCCTGGTACATTTGGTCTAGAACCGCCACTGTCAGTGACTGTTATTCAACTGTCTCTACATGTAGCTCTTTAGGGTGTGCCATTTTTATATGAACGTGTGTATTACATATAAGGTTTTATATAAGTTTTAATTTTTTTGAATGCTGCAGTTGTAAAGGTATTGCTGTGGATGGTAGACTATCTTAAGGTAGGGGCCACAATAAACGTAATCTGATAAGAAAAACATGCTCTGAGTGATCTTACAGTTGACTTTATGTTTAGTTATAAAGTTTATTTGTTTTTTTTTTGTTGTTTTTTTTGTTTTTTTATCTCTGGACCAAGTCGTCCACCAGGAGCACTGTTGGTCCAGGCTGTGTGCGCCATCCCGTCTCTGGAAAGCACCAACTGGCTTCGCTTTGCGTTTTCTCACCCTGCAGATCAGCAGCGAGTCCCCCAGATAAACGAAGGGGCCAAATCGGCCCCGTGTAACAGGACAGCTGCCGCTCCATGACTAATATCATGGAGGTGGTTGTGTTGAAAGCGAACGGAATTGCGCACGGTGGACTGATTCAGCACCATGGATGACAGGTATCATAAGGCGGCCAGGGACGGCTACCTGGACCTGCTGAAGGAGGCGACAAGGAAAGATCTGAACGCGCCGGATGAGGATGGCATGACTCCGACATTATGGGCGGCTTACCACGGCAACCTGGAAGCTCTGCGGCTGATCGTGGCCAGGGGGTGGGTATGATTTATAAAGGAGGTGCTCACAAGTCATAATTCACCTAAAGGTTCAACTGAGCGGCTACAGGTTAACTATAAAGATATATGTACGGTGATTGTTCCTTTTTACTTTAATTTGAGATTTTTATAAATCAATGATATTACTTAATAATTTAATTCAATTCAGTTTATGTCTATAGCGCCACTTCACAACACATGTCATCTCAAGGCACTTTACAGTTCACCAAATTGATAAAAATATTTCTATCTATGGAAAACCAGTTGATTGCATCCACTTGCAATCAACTGATTGCATGCTTGTAGTAACAGTGGAGAGAAAAAAAACTCTCTTTTAACAGGATGAAACCTCCAGCAGAACCAGACTCGGTTTGAGCGCTTTTTATATAATTAAATGTGGCTCTAAAGTTGATGAAGGGACATTTTGCATAGCGGCCATATAAATCAGACTATAACATCACACTTCGCTGTTTTTTAGAGCAACATGGGGAATTATAACCTGACAACAGCCAGATGCATGTCTCACGAGCGAGACATGCATCTGGCTGTTGTCAGGTTAGGGGAATTAAGGCATATGTGACATTAAATACATGCTTGTTCATTTTAACCTTTTACTTTATTTCTAAATGAAACCTAAGTTAGCACCTTGCAAAACATAGACTCCCTGATTATTATTATTTCACATTTAACAGCTTACAATCAAACATTTCTGTTTAATTTTATAAGATTTTACATAACACATTGAAATGAAGTAGTAAATTAGACTTAGGATGATTTGCTATCTTTTCTATTATATGGACAAAATAGGTAGTTGAAAAGTCTGCTTTTGTTCCTTCATTCAAGTACCAAATTTTACTCGAGTTACATGTATCTATCTTGGGGAAGTGTCAGAGATCTGTTACCACTTGTCTTTGCAAAACATCTAAAATTCATTCAGATAACTTGAGGAGTGTCATTGATTTTAATGTTGAATCTTAAGTATTGCCAAAGATTTATTTTGTTTTTTTCACACTAAATTTTGAACTGGGCAATACATTCCTTTTTCATGATAACGATCTAAACAGTTTAATCTAAACCTTACTATCTACTATCTCTTACTATGGTTGATTGCTTAGTGTCATAATGTAAATGTAATGTAATTCCCTTTATTGTCCCACAATGGGGAAATTCATTCTGCATTTGACCCATCCCCTTGGGGTGCAGGGGGCTGCGTTTGCGTGGCACCTATGGAGCAGTGTGGGGTTAAGGGTTTTGCTCAGGGACCCAGACCGGAGGCTGTGGGGATCAAACACTTGCAACCTTCTCAGAGCACAAGCGCACTGCTCTAACCCACTAGCCCAACACTCCCCACCCCTGTCTGTCATCCTGCTGGAAGGGAAACTTCTTCTCCAGTTTCAAGTATACTGCAGCCTAAGACATGTTTTCTTTCAGGATTGGCCTTTAATTAGCCCGATCTATTTGTCATCAACTCTGCCAGTATCTCTGATTCTGATAAAGAAAAGCATGTCCACAGTGTGATGCTGCCATTACCAGATTTTAGCTAGATGTGTTGTTTAGGGTGTGGTCTTCAACTGTCTTCTGCATGGTTTCCAACCAGCCAAACAGCAATATTTAAAGGTCTTCTTAAGGTCTTTGTGCATGACTAATGGTTGCCATATCATCTATCTGATCTGAGCTGTGCATCTCTGGAGCTCCTCCAGGGTCCCCATGAGCTTCTTGAATTCCTTTCTGAGATTTCCTCTCCTTGCCAAGGCAGTTACGTCAGGTAGAGGGTATGTCTCGATAGTTTTGCAGTTATATTGCTGTTTTTTCCATTTTAATATTATTCATTGAACAACGGTTTCAAACTTGACATAAAGGTAACTGTTTTAAAAACTGTGTGTTGTCTCACCAGTTTCACTTATGATTACTGGTGTTTATTTTCCCATTCAGTTCATGAGAAATACTGATACAAACTGCAATGAACTCACAGTCAGCTCGCAAAGTCTGTGAACCTTTTGCCAAAATACCATTCTCTTTTTGATCTGAGGGAAACATTAACAGCACCAAAAAGTACCAAAACTTGAACTCTGAGCCACCTGGTGTGTTCCTTGGGCTCCATGAGGCACTTGAGTAATTGCTGTTTTTATAATGAAATGAAATGACAAATTGATTGGCTCATTTTAAGCTAAGGGTTTTCTGAAGGCAACTGGTTGCATTTGAGTAAATGGTCTGAATACAAACATATGCTGAACATTTTAGGCTTTTAACTGACTTTTATTCCCTTTTCTTCCACTTCACAATGATACACAGAATTCAGTTGATATATCACATGAAAATAATCTGAGGTTTACTGGGAAAAGGTACAAGAGAAAAGATTTTGAAAGACTTTGTATCGCAATTCATAAAATAATCCCTTAAAGGCTAAACAGAGCTGCAACATCTCTTCATCTGCCCAAAAACACAATTAAACTCAGTCAAATGTTTCATTAACTGGGTTTTTCCAATTTTAAAGTCAGCTAATTTCAGTATTCTAGGATTATTTTGGGTTCTGTGGGTTGCTTGGTGAGTCTTACCAAGTCGCAAAAAGTCTACAAGCGGAAAGACTAACATTGATCTAGTAGGGGAAAAAAACACATCAAAACACATCTACAAAGAACAGAACAAAAATATTACCATAAGTAAACATATATGGGAAGACCTTACTCACAATATTGTACAAAGACATTAACTGGATGTGGGAGGGTGTGCAAAAATAAAGAAGAACAAAGAAATAATAAAAAAATTGACAGACATCGCAACCAAAGCAAAGCCATCCAAGGATAGGAACAATAGGAAGTACAGTATGTTTTTTTTTTTTACTTTTAGGAGAGAGCATTACAGCATTAAGGTGTATTTTTTGGGGCAAATTATCAAACCTGCATGGTATTTTTTATAGAGCCGGGCATTTCTCATCTCATCTGGTTGGCCTGCTTTCCAAGTCAGCCAGAACAAAAGGGCTTCATGAGATTCTGCTTCAGTGAGCAAATTTAAAGGGAACCTCTGATCCTGAATGAATTTGTTCTAATTAGTCAGAGACAAATTAGGTCTTAAAAATAACAAGGACAGGTTTAGAGTCTCTGTTTGAGAAAAAAAAAAAGCGAATAAAACTGACCTTACCTCACTCATCAGTGAGTACTGTACAATCCAATTGTATGATAAACTGTTTGAAAAGGTAATTGGACTGTTATGGTGCTGATCTTGAAGATGATTTTGTTCATTGGGTTCATTGTACCTAAATACTCCAAGTAACAACACACCCTAGCCTTAAATTAGTATTTCCCATGAACTGAATGTACACAGAGCTGCAGTAATTATGCAATGACATATAAAGTACTATTTGTTCCCTGGAACAAAAATAAACACCAGTAGTAACCATAAGTCAAACTTGTGAGACAACACCCAAAGAAGAGAGGTCTAAGGGGCATGGGAAACATGCCATATCTTGCTTATTTAGCTCATATATTGCAGTGGGCTGCATGAAGTTACATCAAACTGTCAGTGGATGTAAGGAAGAGAAACTGACCATGAGATAATAATGAGGCAGGAGACCTGACACTGCTGTGTTAAGTATTTTACTGCAGACATAAAGTATAACACATAAAGCCATCATCTTAGATAACTGTGTAATTTGAACTCAGGAGATCATATCTGATGTAACATCTGTATTTCTTATTTCTTCAAAATTGTGCTCTGGCTGTATTTTTTTTTTCCTTTGATCATTGTTTTATTGTTGTCTTCTGGTTTGTTTTACACTCTCTCTCTCTCAGTTATGACCACTAAGTGCTGAAACCTGCAAAGTCAATGACAATGCTGGATTTCCTTTGATAGAAAACTTTTAACCAAACTGATGAACTGATTGGATTGTTCCTGTGAAGTGCCTTAAAAATCAGGTTTTAAATCGGTGCTACTGTATATAAATAAACTGAATTAAATCCAACTGAAATGAACTCACGGCCTGCTCACAAAATCTGTGAACCTTTTGCCAAAATAGCATCCTCTTTTTGAACTGAGGGAAACATTAACAGCACCAAAATCAGAGCCTTGAAAACCGCTGCCATAGAATGACACATATTAGAAATCCTTACAGTGACACTCATCAATTATGTATCTGTGATAGTTTAATCTCCATTGCATCAAATATTCAGGAGTCTGTATGGCTACAGCAGAGAACAAATATATAACAAAGCAGAGGTAGATAAGAAGTGTTTTTTGTTTTGTTTATTACCACAAAGACAAGAAAAAAAATTGTTGAATATGTTTTAGCTAAAGTTAACTTAAAACTGTGTAGTAATAGCTGTCAAAAGTAATACATATAAGCAAATATTGTTAATTTTTAAATTAAAACACTTTCCCGAAAAAAACATTTAAACATTAATTGTTTGGCCAAATCTGAGGCGAAATAAATTGACTTTGTTAAAATTGGATATTGGTTTGTTTTGGGTTAATACAGCTTAGATATACAATTAACGGAAAGTCATCTTTGCTCAATGTCAATGCAGAAAATGTCATGTTGTTTGATCTGACTTGAGGAATTCAGCTGAACATCACCAGTCAGGCCAAACTGTGTCAGGTGCAATTTATATGGGCTCCCTTGAAACAGGATACAGGTAGTAGAGCCGTGATGCTGGCATGGTGGCGGTCATATTACAGATCTGAAGCACGCAGTGCAACACTTACGGAGGTAACCTTCGGGTCGTTGGTAGTCAGAAGAGGAAGGACTAAAGTGTTGCAGACAGGGACATTATTTGATTGTGGATATTTATGAACACACTCCAAATAGGGGCAGAGTGCCACCATTTTGACCATCAGTACTAAAAGTACGAACCAAAGGTCTGTCCCAACAGGAATTTAATGAAGTCATATTAAATCCACATACCTTAGGTTTAGATTTTTCCTCCACCAGTGTCAGGGTTAGAGTTAGTCCTCAGGGAAGAAGTTAGACCAAAGGTATTAAAATAGGTTTAGGTATTAACTCCATGGACTTCGGGTTTATTTTTCCTTGAAAACTTCAGATGAATGTTTTTTTGTGTGTGTTTTACACAATATAGATTTACCAAGTAAACAAAGAACAGTGTTCAAACATAACTACAAACAGTAGTGAGTTATATACAATATCCTTGAAATTAGAATCTGATTTAAAATTTTAGTTAAAAAAAAAGTAACAGATTTTTTTTTAATTATCAAATTAACTGAATTCAAGTGTGTATACTAGTATACATTGTAAAAAAAAAAACTAGAGACCATCCTGTGGAGGTGGCTTATTTTAATCAAATTTTAATGCATTAGCATTTTTTTTATTATCTTTTAAAATGGAAATAAAATTACAATTCATTTTTAAAATAAGAAATTAGTTGAATTTATTGTCAGTCCCTAAAAAAACTAAAAGAACCAGTGAAACCAGTAACAATATTCTGATGCAGTTACCACTTTTTAACAAGGTTCTTTTAAATGATCAAAAATAATGCATGAAAAAAATAGACAGCACTATGAGACATCTTTTTATAGAAATTAGCAGAAAAAAAGCTGATTTAGGGGTGAGTAGTTATTTAAATATCTTATTTTTTTTGGGTCTGGCAGGCCTAGCTGTCAGCAGTAATATTTCAATGGGCTTAAAATTAAATGAGTGGTTTTTTTAGGTTGCCTTCAGAAGTTACCGAGTTTGAATAAATAAATACATACGAATTTGAATTCTGCCTTTTTTTTTTTTTATCTACGCTGGGTAATTGTTTTTTTTTTTTTTACATTATCTCAAACATTTTATGCACGTTATTTTTCCCAGCACTTCATCTATTTAGAAAAAATTATGAGTTAAATTTATTAAATGTCTTTCTTTTGCCTACAGAGGCAACCCAGACAAGTGTGACATATGGGGGAACACGCCACTCCACTTAGCAGCTGCAAATGGTCACCTTGACTGCCTTTTCTTCCTTGTGTCCTACGGTGCCAACATATGGTGCCTGGACAATGACTACCACACACCCCTGGACATGGCCGCCACCAAGAACCACATGGATTGTGTCCGCTACCTGGACTCTATTGCTGCCAAGCAGACCAGCCTTAATACAAAAATGATCACCAAACTAAAGGACCGAGCATTTCGTGATGCTGAGCGACGGATCAAGGAGTGCGCAAAGATGCAGAAGAAACACCGCAAGCGCATGGAGAGAAAGTTTCATAAAGAGGTCTCCGAAGCTTCCGCTTCAGATGTCATGAGCTTTTCCAGTTACACTGGCAGCTCAGTTAGCCACAAGCTACGCAACTTCAGCGCAGCCACTGTCAGTGTGCCATATTCTCAGGTTGGGACTTAAGTCTTGATACAACAATTGATATATTTAAGTGTACTTGAAATATTTCAAATCCTTTGATTACTACATTTCTGTTTTGTTTCTGTCTTGTTAGGCAACTCTCCATGCCACAAACCGAGGGAAGACAAAGATTCAAAAGAAGCTGGAGAAGAGAAAACAAGGAGATGGGACTTTTAAGATTTACGAAGATGGAAGAAAGAGTGTGCGCTCCCTTTCTGGACTTCAGTTAGGAAATGATGTCATGTTTGTTAAACAGGGGACGTACATCAACCCAAAAGATAGAGGGCGCCGAAATATACGTGATATGTTTCCTGGAAATAATGAAGATGCAATTTCTCGTGCCATCAGTGAGCCAAACCTTCACAGGTCAGATGTGGATTACTCTGAGATCAGCACAGACTCTGGACATGATTCCCTATTTAATCGGCCAGGTCTCGGCACCATGGTCTTTAGAAGGAACTACGTCAGCGGAGGCATGTTTAACCTCAATGCTCAAGAAACAACTGGATCAGGAAATAATGTGCGTTTGCGTAGTCGGTTGCAGCATTACCCGAGTATAGACAAAGACAGCATTGGAAGTGCACAAAGCCTGCAGGAAAGAAACATGGAAGAGTTGCCTTGGGAAGAAGTTGAAATAGGGCTGGACGATGACGATGAGCCTGATACAAGCCCTCTGGAGGTCTTTCTTGCCACTCTGAGCATGAGCGAGTTCTATTCTATCTTCAAAAGAGAAAAGATTGATTTAGAAGCTCTTCTGCTTTGTACTGACCGAGACCTTAGGAGCATTCATATCCCTTTAGGGCCAAGAAAAAAGATTATGGATGCCTGTCAGAGACGAATGGAGACCATAGAGGACCCCGACTCCATTGAGGACACGGAATTGTAAGCATTAGAAATGTCACTTTTTTCAAACATCTAAGCACACAAATATTTATATGCAGTCAAACACAGTGACAGTCTTTTCATTTTATCTGTAAAGCCCTGTCTTATTACTGAAGAGCTATTATTCAACGTAGATAGCCAGATGGTTATTTGCCAAAGACCAAATAACAGTCTAGTCAGACAAAAAAAAAAAAATCCACACAATAAAATAAAAAAAATGAAACAACCGTCAAAGCAAACAAAATGGCTCTGGGCTAAATGCTTCAGGTCAAACTAAATTTAGAGTGTCTGGCCAATAATGTGAGGGTTGAGATACCACCCAATGGACAGATACCCTGACGTTTTTACAAAGTATTGGGTATCTCTTGAGTGAGAACTTAATTTAGATTATTATCATTATGTACAAAAAGACCACCTATGACTTATTCTAATGGCAATGGGAAAAAGGAATTTCACATCCATGTTATGATAAGGAGCAATTTACAGTAAAATGTGTTGTGTCCCTTCAGTTTTTATTTGTTACTTTGAAAGTGGACATAATATGTTTCTGTCAGTTTATATTTTAAAGTATGCTGATGTGTCATGCAGCACCTCTGGAAGTTAAATACTAGTGTTGCACCGATACCAGAATCGGGCGGGGCCCCGATACTGCACTAAAATGGTGTTATCCTTATCGGCGAGTACCGACAAATAGGGCACCGATACCATGTGAAAGCCAAAAGTGTATTCAACAATTGTGATCCATTCCAGGTAGGCAATAAGAATTTCTACTGGATTCAATTTGTATTAGTCTTTTTCCTGCTTCAAGGTAGGCAGCAGCTTGACAAAGCCATGATTGCAATTATTTTCCACCCAAGTAATATGTAGTTCTTCATATATACACACACACATCAATTTCAAACAGATGGTACTGGTATGGTATCAGTATCGGCCAATACTGCACAGCCAGGTATCGGTATCGGGGCCAAAAAAAGGCATCGGCGCAACACTATTAAAAGATCTTATTGTTATTATTCATTCATTCTATTTATGCTTCCTCAAATTCAACATATCCTTAAATTAGAGCTCTGGAAAAAATGGAAGTAGCTTTAGGCAGAGGTCTATTTAAACCATTAAAGGCACAAATAATTTCAGACCAAAGGTCTTTTTTTGTTTAAAAAAAAAAAAAAAAAGAATAGCACACCTTAATTTGTCTCATCTGTGTATCTGTACAGTGAAGCTGTATATCAGAAGTGATTAATTACAGGTTTGGCACATACCCTCTGTGTTTTGAGTATGTGACAACACTGTAAGCCTAGTTTAAGTTTTAAAGATCCAAGAAATAGATTTTGTTACCTATCAACTTTTTACATGGTTACAGTATATTGAATTTCAGAAGTAGTTTATAAAAATAGAATTGCTGTCACTTAGCTATATTTCACTAAATAAAAAGCAAAACTCAATAGATTTTTTACTGATAAAGCCTTTTTGGCATTTGAGAAAATATTAAGGAACTTTCATGAAAAAAAATTAAATAAAAAAAAATTTGAATCTTGAAATAAATAATCAGATTGTGGTCTTTTTTTTTGACAGGTAATGAGAGCGATGGATGTTCACTCTACTGCAAAATGGGGCTATATGGAATCAATCTGATAAAAAGACTAAGAAGGAATTAACAGCTTTTGAAGCAAAAGGAAATAAGTGGAACATTTTTTTTTTGCAATTTCACAGTATACCATTCTGTATATACTGAGATATTGAGTCTAAATCAATTCCCCTTTGGGTTTAATCCACCCACTTTATGTGCCTCTATTGTTTGTGCCTGTCCACTTGCTTTAAAAAGGCAATGTTAATATGTTTAAAATTATGTGCATAGACAAAAACCTCATGTTAGAATATTATACATTTTCAAGCATTTACGTTTTTAACACGATATGTTTACACACAGAATGCCATGTTTGTCTAAATATACTTTAGAGGTAATAAAGGGCCAAATGTCTAAAAAGACCTCTGCATTTTAATGTGGAATATGTGATATACGTATGTCCTTTTTAAAGTCTTCCAAGTGTTTTAACCTCAGTAATGTTTATAATTTACATATGAACAATTACATAATAACGCTTATTAATTTAACAAAAAAAAAGAACATTTCAGTTTGAATAAAGTTAAGCTTGCATTTCTACAGTACTGCTTTGAAAAGTGTGGTTTTGTAAATGTTTGTCTTTTATTCCTTTAGAGTCCTAATATGAGCGTAATTGCAGATGTATAATTAGCTATTTTGGTCAATATACAGCATTGAGCGAGTATTGATGCTTTATGCAGACTGCAGACCTCTCAGAAACTCGCCCAATTGGTCATGTGACCTAGATTGTCCCTAGAGGTCCCCCTTAACATGAAAGCTAACTAAGCTAAAAATTTTTATTAGGCAAAAGAACTGAACGTTATCTGACCTAAACCTGGAGAGGTCAAGCTCCCCCTGGTGGCTGAACATTAAAGTTTTGTTGCTTTAAGTCACCATATTGAAACCAAAAGCTTCTCCACTTCTACCATAAATTGTAGCTTTGCAAGTGGGAAGTCTTTAACAGAAGGGTGGTCACAGGAAACCATGACATCCTGCAGGATAAAGTGATCAGGCTCAGAGCTTTGGGTACTGCTGTCAGAAGAAATCATGCACCCATAATGTCTTCAATGTTAAGTAAGACTGCTCTTTGATAGTGTGACAAATACATTATTAGCTAAATTACAGCCTATATTTTCTCGGCCTCTTATTAATCTTTTGCTGTGCAATTTGGAGTTGTACGAGCTCTACAAAAACTTTGGAGTTATTTTATTTTGGGAGCTCAAAGAAGATCCATTTTTTCTATCTACGAATCTGGTTTCAGGTGTGGATGTGATATCTAATATCGTTGTAGCCTTTCAATAAAGTGAGCATGGTGAGTGTTACAACAAATTCTCTGAAGATCAGTTCCCACAGATGCACAAGGGGGGAAGTTATCAAGAACTGCTGCCACACCCATAATCAAATATACAAATATGCAGCCACAACAAACATGAAATACACTAACCTATATGGAAACTTTATGAATGCTCAAAACTTTCAGTGAACTCCTATTTTTCATCACACCTCTCAAAAAGTGTACTGTGTACTTGATGTGCTACAGAGGCCCTTTACAAAACATGGCAGTCCATTAAAATTCTGGTAGATATTTAATGTACAGGTGCAACTAGCCTGGTATGAAGGGGAGCTAATTATACTTTCATTAGGTGAACAGTTTGTGAAAAAATTAAACCATATTGGTAAAAACAAGGATGTGTATTTTCAATCAATCAATAATTTTTATGTCAAATTTGCAATTTTATATGTATGGGGCTGCAGAAGATATGAAGTCAAATTAACTGGTGTAGACCTTAAACAAAAGATTGGATTGATCATGATTAAGCAATTGCTAAACTAATTGTAATTTAATTCAGCAATCAATTACAGTTAAGCAGAGTATAAAGATAAAACATACTATTGAAAGAATAGCCCCACTCAGAGCAGTATTTAAGTAAACATTGTAGACAATATATACATTTTGCATTCAAGATAAAAAAAAAAAAATCCTTTTCAGGATATAGGCTCTATCCAGAAAGCCTGAAGTGGTGTAGTTTTTAATTAACCTTGTTCATATTCTTTTGAAATCTCTTATAGTGATCAATTTTTCCTGCGATTAATGTGAAGCATAATTGAGAGGTTATTTGATTAGTCAAACAATTGTTTGTTGCAATTCTAAACTACTTGAAACACATCTTCATCAGGCAGAAATATTCCAAACAACAATGTTTTTTCATAAATGACTAAATATCTGACCAGGGGCCTGATATCACAATTCCTGAGCAAACGCCGCACAATGGCAGCTCACTGCTTCGACGGGGATGGGTCTAATGCAGAAGTAAATTTCTCCAATGTTAGATAAAAAAAGTTCCATTGTTATCAGTTATTATTATTAATGCCATAAATATTGCAGGCGTTATAAAGTATTTTGTGGTATATATGTAGGAAATTTTACTGAGGAGACTTTCTCTAAAAGTACTGTAGAATCAAAACCCTTCGAGAGAAGTCCTCGGTTATGGTAACACAGTCAGGGAGGCCATTTTTCAGAGATCAATTAGAAGACAAACTGAAAATTCATTTGATATTTTTAATGTTTCTTTGTAAAGAAAATGTAATTTGAGG